ACCCATGCCCTCTAGATGCACCCAAGACCACCTTCGTGACCAACAGGTGTAGCTAATGTTATAAGGTGATTCCCTTCGGCCTCAAGAAAACAAGAGCTACCTATCAGATGTTGATGGAAGATGTCCTTTTGGATCATATAAGAATTTTTTTGGAAGCATACGTAGATGATATGGTCCTAAAGACACGTGATGAAAATAACCACTTTAATCACCTAGAAGGCGTCCTCTGATAAGTTTAGAAGTACAACATGCATTCAAACCTTGCAAAGTGTTCTTTTGGGTTAAAGGATAGAATATTTTGGGCTACAGGTTAACTAGGAGAGGAATTGAGGATAACCTAGACAAATACCAAGATATAATCAACATTTAAAGCACAACAATAGTCAAAGGAGTTTAACATTTGAGGGCGAATAACCACTCTATCTTTATTTTTATCATGTGTGAGCGATAAGGTCTTCCACTTATTTTCCACATTGAAGAAAAAAATAAGTTTCAATGTACAGAGGAATGTGACGTGTCTTTTGCAAAATTGAAGATCTTCCTAGCGACACCCCATATCATGACTCTCCCAAAAGAGGTGTATCATTGTATATGTTCCTCTCAGTATCAGATAACGTCGCGAGTTATATGTTGTTCAAGAATTTGACGAGGTTAAAATACTAGTCTAGTTTATGAGCAAGGCCTTCAAGGGAGATGGATTGAGATAACAAAATATAGAATGGTTGTCATTAGCAAGGATCCTAACAATGAGGAAGTTGAGGCCGTATTTCCAATGCTATTGTATAGTAGTTAAAGTAAACTACCTAATACGTTGATGACACCAAAACACACCATATATTTGACTCGATTTTTGCATGTTTATTGTCATTTTGTTTTAAATTTCCATTATTATATTGGTATTTTGTCTATGTTTCATGAAATTGACTAAATGAGAGTCGTATGCGAAGAAACAAAGAAAAATGGATGAAAATAGGGAATTTTACACTCAAGGCAGCCACCATGACGTTCACCATAGAGGTGGCTAAGAATGGTCCACGCACTAACATTCTAAGAGACTAAGTCATAACCGCCTTGAGAACATGGAGTTTTCCATGAAGGTGTGGCGGTCTCCACCCCTTATAGAGGCCAAGCGGTTGGAAAGTGAGCTTACTTAGTCTCCCCATTTTCCCTATTTGCTCCTAAATTCTCTCCACGCCTTTTGAAGTCTCCTTTGTGATTTTAGGGTTTTTGGAATCCTATAAATACCACCATTTCATCACTTTGCAAACCATCCAAGCTTAGTTACAAACTTAAACCATATAGTGTCGAAATTGTAAGCGATTAACTCTTTACATCGGAGGATTATTGTACCGTTGATCGAGTTTGTAATCGAGTTTGGAGAAACTTTTATCAAAATATTAATCTTGCCGTCATTTTACTTTCCGCATTCATGTTTCAGCACTTTACTTTATGTACCAGATTAAAGTCTTTTCGGAGTAGGTTTAATTATCGCATTACTTTTATTTTATCGTCTTTTTATTTATTTGCATGATCTTCTTCTACCTTTATTTTAATTGTACGTTTAAAGCTTATATGTCTACTATGTTTTATCACATAAACGAATCAATCACTTTAGTTTATGTCATAATCATGTCTAACTAAATTTATAAGTGTTGGAATGTGAGGATCGTCGATTCCACGGTATTGTAAATTGTTTTTCTTTGGGAAATTCTATTGGGGTTGTTTTGATTTTAATCATATTTTCTAAATTTAATTTGTCGGTTACTACGAAAGTAAAACCATTTATATGTCGGGTAAGATCGAAAATCGTCTGATACAAAAGAATAAAGTTGTTTAGTAATTAATTTATAAAAACCGCGAAAGCACTTTATTAATTAAATAGGAGAGTCTAATATTTTCTAGAAACTGGTTTTAAAACTATTTATGAAAGCATGCATTTATAGGTTTATGATCTAGTTACCTGAGTGGAAGTTTGGAACCCTTTTAAGTTAAATTTTTCAATCAAGAATACTTTTCATCGGAATAAAGAGTCTAATTTCTTAAAATAGGTTTTATTTCTTTAACGCGAACAGTACCTACCACCGTGACAGTGAACAGTATAATTTAGAGAATAAAACTCGATTCTAAATATGCGAAAGCGACAGTTTCTGTTAATTTAGCTCTTTTCAAAGTAAAAAATATTATCCCATAGAAATTAAATTTATGAACAACAAGAGTATCAACGAATTGATGAGATCCACACTCCAACATTGTATTTCTGATATTAATTCAATTTTTTCATTTATTTTTCTTGTATAACTCCAGCCTTTATTTTATTTGTCTTAAATAAACACTGTAACGATAGAAAACGATAGCTTAACTATTAGATCTCTGTGAAATCGACACTCATTATATTACGGTGATACTTTTTGTGCACTTGCAAAATACCTAAACAACCCAATCTAGAGGGGGATAATTATGTCTTGGTCAATAGAGTTGTCTAAATACAACATCAACTTCATATCACGTGGGAGCATTAAGTCACATGTACTACCGAATTTTTGGTGGATTTTTTTTTTTAAATTGGCTAAGACATTCCTCACGTGTGGATCTTATTTGTAGATGGGGCGTCGAATTTAAAAGAGAGTGGGGTCGGAATAGTATCAGAAGTCTCTGAGAGGTGTTGATTTAACAATCATTATGGTTCGAATTCAAGTCACGCGATAACCAGATAGAATACAAATTCATCATAGAAATAATGGTGTTAGCAAAGTAAATAGGAGCATTAACACGAAGGCTATAATTGATTCTCAGTTAGTCCTTGAATATCGGATCAAATAGGCTCATTTGGTGAAATATTTCTAGAAGGTTCTTGAGCTAGCAAGGCACATCAATTTTTTGAGGTAAGATATGTTCCTAGAAAACTGAACTCCAGCAAATCTCTTATTTAAGCTGGCCAACACAAAGAAACTTCGACATAACAAAATAATGATACAAAAAAATTGTTTGTTCTCAGTACTGAAGATGCAACACTAAACACCATGTCCCACTAAAAAAACGACAAAGGCTAGTTGACGTCTATAACTAAGTGCTTGGAAAGTGAGCAATTTCCCTCACATGAAGATGAGGCGAGAAAAATCAAAAGCTATCAACAAAATACACCTTTGTTGCAGGATAATTGTGTACAAAATGAGAAGAGTTGTGCCAATTTTAAGATTTCTTGACGAGAACGAAAGGATAGTGGTATTAATGTTAGCGCATAAAAGCGTCTATTGTAGCCACATAGGGGGAGCACTGGCGAACAATCTATCAAGGGACAATTACTATTTCTTAACATTCTATGGGACAACTTAAACTTTGTCAACAAATACAATAAGTGCCAGCGATTTTAAAACTTACTTCACACCTTAACTAAGACCCTCCATGATGCACTAACCTCGCCATGGTCATTCCATATCTATTTGACATTCCGGTACCATTCCCCTTGTCCCCAAGATAATTGAAAATTTCATTTGTAGACATGATTTCACAAAATGGGTCGAGGCAGAGGCAATATAAAAAATCATTGCATAAATAATTTGATGCTTCTACAGAAAGAGAATTACTTGCAAGTTTTACTTGTCGAACTCAGTTTGCTAGCTCAACAATTAGGAAATATTTGCGAAATTTGAGAATCCAAACCAAATTTGTCTCGGCCAAATTCCCTAAAGATGACGGTCAAGTCGGATCCACCAACAAAGTCATACTCAATGGAATCAAGAAAAAAATTGAAAGAGGCCAAAGTTTATGGGCGAAACAACTATATAAGGCATCATTTAAATTATTTTATCTTCCAAAAACCAATTATCACTATCACTCCAAACATTTGTTTAATGTCTCGTCATTGAAGGCTATAGGTGTTGTTGTCCTATCATATGACACGTCATTCGTCCACAAAAGAAACGACATTTAAAATGGTATACAATTATGATGACATGTTGCTTGTGGAAATGAGTATGCCCACTTGACAACGTGAATTTTTTTATGAAAGAGGTAAAAAACCAATAACATCCCTTTTTTTTCCTTTGTTATCGACCTCTTGTTCTATTTCTACCACTCACATATGACATGAATATGTTGATTTTGTAATTAATTTAATAAAGCGAGGTGTAATAGCCGAGACACGTGAAATAACTTATATCAAAGAAATTCGTTGTGAAGCTAAGAGCTTCCAAAAGATATCATTCTCGACTTGTTTCGAGAGAGATGGAGGAAGGTGACCGTCTTCAAACAAGTGGTAGCACTCATCAGAACTGGAAAGATTTTCTCGAACTAAAAAGGACCCTACAGAGTAGAGAAAGATTTCCCCATAGCACCAACAAATTAGAAGAATTTAATGGATATCATGTTTCTAGAAAATAGAACTCAGTTAACCTGAGACACTATTATAGTTAGCTTTATGAATTTAATTAATAAGGCGAGTTGTGTTGTTAAACCGCCATGAATTATTCTCCAGTTATGACTAAAAAAGCATTAGTAAATTTGTAGGTGACACTCTTTTTCCCTACAAAGATAAAGGTTTTTAAGAAAACGCCCTATTTATTAATCACATTTTAATTATAGAAAATTATGCACCGCGTGAAATAAGATATCATTGCACCTTACAATCATGTACTACAGTACAAACCAAATACTTTCTTTTTGACAAAAACACAAGGCAATGAGGCAGCTTACTTTCACGCGCCAATAGAAGGCATTGCAGATTCTGCAGCCTCAGTTACAAGAGGGACCGAGAACTTCTCAAAGCAAGAAAATGATCCAAGGCTATATGAACCTAGTGCCTCTACACCGAATAAAACAAGTCATTCCAACAATTTCTCAGAATTTCTGCGGTTATATTAATAAGACAAACAGACCTCATACAACATACTGAAATACACCTATAGCGGTGTAGAAAGGAGTAACAGCACAAATACAGATGGAAAAGCACTTTAGTCCCAAACACCGCGCCTATATTTCACACTAAACTGAGTTCAATAACATTAAGGGGCCTTCACTGACTGTTCTGGCATATCATCTTCGTCATGGTAAATGTTCTCTGCCATCTGCCATATTTGAAGTATATTGTCTTCGGCCACACTAGCAACAACCCAATCTTCACATGGGTTCCAAGAGAAGTCGGATATTTTGCTCGTATGACCACCGTGAATAAAGAGCAATTCTGGTGGACCATCTTCAGCATCTTCTGCTGACTGTTCTTCATCAATCCTACATAAATCAGTGGAACCAAGTTGTTATGGCAAATAGTTCTGACATATATGATTTATTAATATATGAATCAAATAAAAATATTGGTATTTTTTTAATAATCATCTTAATCAGAAAATCAACCCTCAATAGCCATTTCAAATTCTGCACTTTAATTGAATCATTTAATTCACGCTACAAATACCGATGCCCATATACCAACAAAGGAATCAACAGGAACATGCAATTAGCCTGTCCACAATAAAAGTCAGTGCTAAATCATCTATGTTCACATCATGATGATTTGTCCATTATTCCATCAGTCTCATGTTTACAGAACCCAATATAACTCAAGAAAGACAAAATTTGATGGCCCTTTAATTTGCAAAAAAAAATGGGAGCTTTAATTCACCCAAGAAGTTTGAAAGTTTAACAATTGAAATGTAAAAGAAATTTTAATTTTGAGAAAGCTCCCCAAACCCCATAAAAAAGGAAACGACTGGAGTACCCCAGGGAAATATCAAACACTAAAATTTCTGGGGAAGGACCAACAGCAACAGGGTTTATTAATTTATAAACATCTCTAATGAACCACCAACATACCAAAACTCAGAAACACATTTCAGTGAAACAAATAAAATTTCACTAAAAAGTCTAGATATGATGATGCTTTCATTAAGCAATACCTGCTAAGATCCCACACCATGAGTCTCCTACCAAGACAACAAGAAGCCAAGATAGTCTCATTCTTTGGATTCCAGCCGACCTGGAAAACCTCCTCCCTGTTAACCCAACAACAGCAATTCAGATCAGTAACTAATAAATACCATTACAACTAGAGTAATAAATTAAGAAACATCTAAGGAGAATATTACTTATGACTATCAAAGGTGTGAAGAGGATTGGTGATCTTGCGCAGATCCCACAATTTCACTGTTTTATCAGTAGAACCAGTAGCAACCACCCATTCATTGAAGGGATTGAACGCCAGACAGTTAACCTAATAAGATCCAACGGATATATACAAGTGTTATTTGAAGTGATATTGGGAAGGAGTATCAACATTCAGAAAACTATGGAACACTGCCAAAAGATAAAGGAAACCTAAAGCACAATAGATAAGAGAACCACATTATAAGGAGTTGACAGATTGAAAATTAGATTAACAGTAGATATCCTATCAGCCAGCAAATTTTGAAAAAAGCTATATATGTCAAATATTGCCACTGTCGAACTGCAGAATGGAGTCATGGCCAGTTCTTAAATATTGGCCATGGTTACTGAATTTTCTATTATTACCCATCTCTAATAAGTCTTTAAACACAAAAACAATGTTATCAACAGCAAATTGCAGAAAATAGCAGAACATCAAAAATCTGATATGTAAAATAGCAATTAGCATTGCAGGCAAATAGGAAGTGGCACGCAGCAGTTGAAATAAGTTAATTATAAAAATAAAAAATAAAATAAAAAAGAGGCGCACTTCATACAAATAAAAAAGGGAATGGAGGTAGAGCACAACTTATACATTGAAAGGTTTACGTTTTATGTGAGTATGAGTAATACTCACCGACTCTTCTGGTTTTCTAACGAGAAAATAGGTAGGGTTTCACACATGAACGTATGAGAAATACTTACTGACTCTTAAGATTTTCTATTGAGGAAATAGGTAATGTAGGTCATGTTTCATATACATGCAGATTTGTCAGTCCTATTTTTTAATAAAACAACCTAAATTCACTTTTGTACAACTATTGCTGCTATATCAGCATGTATATAGAAGCTGGAATAGATGCCTCTAAGGATAGTGTCGCGGTATTCTTAGCAGATTCATCAAAATCAACTATCCTATAGCGCCCCTATTAGACAACACACTCATAATGTTGAATCACGACTCCCTTTAGTTCTAATATGACTAGGTTAATAGGGCTTGTTGAACCACCAATTCCCTCTCACAACAGCACATCATAAACCATATCAAGTGGTTCTGATTAAACTTTCCCACATCTCCCTACCAAACAAATTCATTGATTCCTGACACTAATTACCACAAAACAGTTTACTGTTTTCACGAGGCAATAGCATTGCAATTCCAACAGATCCCCTAAATAAATCAACTTTATTGCCTATCAAATATTGCATAACAAACAAACTCACATCAAACACATATTCTAACAAAACCAATCACTAAACTATTAACCTTCCTTAAAAACCAAATGTAAAAACCTTATAAGACAAACAAATCCCGAGATTTAGATAAATCATACAAGACAACACACCTCGCTTGAATGAGCAATGCAAGACTGAACAGGCTTGGTAACAGACGGTGTTCGAAGATCCCATATAAGCATATACTGATCATCTCCAACAGAACCAAATAAATACTCATGCCTCAAATGCCAAGTCACATCTTCAACAACACCTTCATGTACCTACGAAACAATCAACAAAACATCATACAACAACACCTTCATGTACCTACCAAACAATCAACAAAACATCATACAACAACAACAACAACAACAAAAACAACAAAAACAATAAAATTCAATACAAACCAATACCTTAAAAATCTGCATAGCATCAAGAGACTTATTCTTGGGAGTCCCATTAATATCCCACAAACAAATCTGAGCATCATCAGAGCCGCTAAGCAAATGCCCTTGTTTAAAAGTACTCCAAGACAACCCATACCCTTCAGTATTATGGCCTCTCAACCTCAAATCAGGGTTACAAGACCCATCAAGAGGAGGCTTAGAAGGATGTTTACTATAATCAAAAACATAAACCTCGGCACTAATAGTCTTAGTAGCAATAATAAAATTATTCTGCGGCATATACCGAGCCCTATTCACCTCACCGTCATGATTAATCTGTTGAATAATCTGCACCTTCCCATTAGCACACCCAAACCCCCCAACTTCCGGACGATCATCCTCGTAATGACGAGCATCGTTCTCGGAATCGTCGAGCGGGAGCTGCACTTGCGCTAACATGAGGTAATTGGGCTCGTTTTCGGAAGTGTGGGTTCCCAAGATGACTTTTTGAATGGAGTAATCTTTCCCCGGCGGCTCTTGGCGGTCCGGGAGCCATTCGACGGTGAGGGAAGGCCATTCTAGGGCGTGGGTGATGACGAGATCGTAGAGAAAGGGACTGTTTTTCTTCCAGATTTTGTATTCTTCGTTGATTAAGCGCTCTTCGATTTCACCTCTCATTTCTTCGTCTTCTTTACCCATCCACATCCAAAACCCTAAATAACTCTCTTCACTATAACCCCCACTACGCCACAATACCTTTCTTACCTCACTCTCAAAATACAATAGTCATTTCTTCTCTCACCTTTTCACTTTTTGTCCCTTCCCTTTTTTTATTAATTCAACCCAAAATTCACTACTTTTTATTTTATTTTTCTTACAAATATAACTAAATTTAATATTTTTAATTACTTATTTAGATAATGTAGGTCTAAATTTCAATTTTTAAATAGTGACTAGTTAATCTTTTGGATGAAATGTAACGAATTGACATCAAAATTTTATAAAGAGATAAGATAAGAAATTGGATGAGATAAATGTCTTTTGAGTTGGCTAAAGGTCCAATAGATCAAGATACAATTCATTTCAAATATATTATTCTTGATCCAACATATAAAAAGTAGTTCATATGTTATGAAAAGATACATAATTTTTTATCTCTAATTTCATTTTATTCACCTTGAATATTGAATTGACTTGAGCGTTGGAGTGTTAATCATGCAGGTCCATCTCGTGTCGCCGTAAAGGAGATAACAATCATCATTCAAAGTTAATAGTTATCCATCTTTCATCATTTCTAGTTCATTCATGAAACTGGAATATTCATTTTTGGTTCTCGAACAGAACAACGGCGCTGTTTGTGAGACTCGATTTCCACGAAGGTCGTGTTTGCTTCTCAAACACCATCGAGCAAATGCAGAATTTCCAGAGCTGGATCCTTGCGGTTTAGATCCAAATCTTTGATTTACCAGCTCGTAGCATCCCCAAATGTAGAATTAGGAAATAATCAACTTCATATTTTTACATTTCTGTCAAACTCGTGATTGCCTTTCAATTTTATCGTTCGCGACTTCTTAGATCCTAAAGTCGATAGCATTTAGAAGCAGTCATAGAGATCCATTGTAACCAAGTCGGCTGATCACTATTTTCGCCTCAATTCCTCATTGTCAAGGTCTCAAATTCACTCGATAAATTCGCAGAATGGGTGAAGGAGGATTACCAGTCCAGATATAGGGTTTAAGCTGGAATCCGAAGGCGGGTTTTATGAAGGTCGGGTTGAAGCCTCTTAATCCATTCCACATCGTAGTGAGGGCAATTACTAGGTCTATATATATGATGTGTGTCAAGACACCTGTTGTACCCCAAAATTTGCCCTCCTATTTTCCACAAGAAATCACAGCCTCGGGCTTTTCCTGGTTTTTCAGATTGGCGCAAGAATCAGTCAAACAGACTTTTTTCTTATCAGTCTATCCTTTAGGGTTTTTCATGGACTCTGGAACATTTCAAGCAAATTATTAGGGTTTGGTTGAGTTGGCTCAGGTTCTGATCAGGCAGGCGCTTCTTTGACATTTAACCAAGAATCAAGGTTTTGTGCGCGCATTCTCATAAAGGATTAATTCTACAATGCTTTTCAATTTACTTTGGGATATGAGCTAAGGCATTTGATTTGAGTTTGCAGTGTTTGATTGAATCAGTAAAAGAAAAGGCATGAGGACGTTTTTGTTTGATTAACTGTGCATTTGCTTTGGATAATTGGAGCGCCGGATTTATTATTGATTAATGCGAAGTTGCAAGACGTCGGACGTTTATTGATTATTTATCATTTCTAAATTAAAATTATTGGATATTTTCCAGTTATTATGATTTAAGAAATATAAATAATTAAATAAATGAATGCATAGGAATTAAAGAATTAACTGATCAAAGGAAGTTTTTTTATTCATCTTTAATTATTTGTTACAATTATTATTTGAGCACTGTTAAATTATTTGCAGATGTTTACATTAATACTGTTACAATGATTAAAAATAAATTGAAACTATCCTAAATCTATCCTAAATCTTCATCCTCCATTTGCTGCTCCCCGTTGCTCAAATTGATTGTTATCTGCAAAACAAAGAAAAAGAAGAAGTCAAAGGCAGATGGAATAATAAAAGAGCAGACAGATAAAAAAAGACTCATCATTAAAAGTGACTGGCCGGAATCAGTTGTTCCCCTCTCTGTAAATCACGAGATTACTCTCGGTTCACAAAGAAGGATAGAATATGCTTGCCATAAAATTTGAAATGCACAAAGCAACAAATGCACAAATTCAAATTTTCAAACATACTGCATTGTCAACAAGCTGCATAGTCAAAGGCAAACTGAATAGCAAACTAAACTGTCCAGAATTGCAAAACATGCCAAACAAGTCACAATTTCAAACTAAGCCAAAGCTGTCAAAAGTTGTCCAAAAGATATCAAGATATCAACAAATCCAAAAGACTGTCAACAAAGTACACACAATATGTAGGAAAGCATGAATTATGCAGAGGAAAACAATATTACAAGCATATTCAAATCATCACTTTCCAAGGCCAGTTACCTTTTCAGAGTAAAGTACATTTCTAAAGCAATAAAAATGCTTTTTAAATGTGTGGAGAGAGAAAAAGAGAAAAAAGAAGAAGGCTTATAGCAAGCTTAAGCTTGAAGAAAAAAAGATATAACAAGCATATCAGACAAAGAGAAAAGGGGGCAGAACCAACACATAACAAAATAACACAAAGCTCATAAGCTCAAAAACCTCAAACCAGCTAAAAGCTTGTAAACCATCAACCTGCCTCAAACATTCAAAAACCTGCTAATACACCAAGCATGTAACCTGTGTCAAGCTTCAAGCCTCCCAAACTGTATCCACACCAAGCCTGTGACTAGTAAACCTGCACAAACAAAAGCCTAAAACCATACAAGCCTGTGCACCAGATAAACCAACAGAAGCCTAAAACAGCATAAACTTGTCCAAGCCCACATCCTGCATAAACCTCTAACACAGGCCTGCAAACAGAAGCTCAAATCTGCATCAAGCCACAAGCCTATACCCTGTTTCAACTCAGCTTCAAAAAGCCCAAAGCAAAATACAGCATATCATCACAGAGCCTAAACCTGCATCAAGCCAAAGCCTCATCCTGCTAAAGTACCTAAAAGCCAAGCTTGTCTCAAGCCTTTCAGAGCCAAAGCCTTCAAACTGTAATACCCACAAATCAAAACCAAAATAACCAAACATTCAAACCAACAGGCCACCCTCAGAGCAACCTCATCATAGGGTTCGTGTACCAAATACCCAGATTCATATCAAGCATACAGCATCATTCAAACAGTGGAAGAGGAAAAGAAGTGTCAAAGCAAAGGTTTTCAGAAAAGCACCTTCATCATCAAACCTAACAAAGGGCAAATACAGATACCAGATTTTCTAGCAAAGCAAGCTAGTTCACAGCGCATCGCGCTCCTCCGCCTTCAGCCGTACTAGGCGCCTCCAGATCCGCCTCCTCTCCAAGTAACGATCTACAAAGGTAGTATTTCTCTTCTTTTTCTTTCTTTCCACACACCTCAAAAAGAAACAATGGCAACATAAAATCAGAACATGAAAGTAACACATAAAAGCTTGAAACCCTAACGCGATAGAGACAGAAATCACTACCTTTTAACTATTGCCTGGATGATCCATGGAGGGAAGAGGAATAGACGGCGGCGCCCGGTGGTCCTAGGAAGAGGATCTCGTTCAAATGGCCATGTGTTGAGAAGCACGAAGATGAAGGAAGCAAAAATGGAGAAACGGCGCCTCTGCATTGCTGTAACCCTAAATCCAAATGGAACAAAACTGATTAAACCCTAAAACAAAAAATGTGTAAAACGTCTTGGGCCTTGCCCCGTTACAAGCCTTAAGCCCAATGATCTTGGCGCCAGACCCCCTATCCAATGCGCGTACCTCCCTTTCTGATTATCATTTCAAACGTTGTTTGGGCCCAAAAACCCCCGTAAGCCCATTCAGTCTTTCTTTCTTTATTTTATTCTTTTTTTTCAGCATAAACTAACATCTTTTTTTTACTTATCTTTTTATTCTTCTTTTTGCAATTTAAACTAACATAGTCTATTTTTGTTAATAAATTAAATAATACCTTAACTTTTTTATATACAAAACTTTCTTTCATTTACATGAATATTAGGTTTAATTAGATTAATAGACTTTTATCTTAAATTTCTTTTTTTCATAAATCTTTTTGTACATAAAAACATCAATACATAATTTTCTTTAAGTTAAATAATTTTCTTTTCTTAAATCTTTTTGTTTGTACATATTTAACAAAAACACAAAAGAGGATAAAATACTTAATAATACATTAAGTTAAACATTTTTACCACTTGTAAATAATCATACACTTACACAAATACATTGATACATTTACATTGTTTTATTCTTATACATTGCTACATTTACATTGCGATTGATTCGATTTGGTTGTAAATTATTTGGACACTACTCTCCTAACAAGTCTCATCCCCATTTGTAAATATTTGTACCCCCACTCCCGGATACTTATTTGTAATAGCGTAGACTTTAAATTCCCGCAATTTATCGCTTTCAATTATACCATGGTTAGACCTAGGGTTTGTATGTAAATAAAATCAAACGCTAGATAACCTAAATACAAAGACAAATGCATGAAATCAATACACCATTCACACTTGCACCCCTAAGGTAATCCCGCTTGTTGCCTTCCAAAATGGGTCATGCTTGCATGTCGAGTTTCTTTGGCAAAACAAAATGAATCAAATGATCATAGTCCCTCGATGACGCTTTCGAAGTTGCCTAAAATGATCATAGTCCCTTCAAGCAAATTTGCCAAAGACACTTGGCACCATTGCATCCATGGTCTAAACGATGACCCGCGCCTGTCCCGTTAACATCCTAACACAAGATTGTCCACCAAATTCAATGGTGGAACAAAATTGTTAAAAGGGTTAAAACATGAGGAAAACCTTTGAGTAAATTTAGGGGTAGACAACTCTTAGTTACTTGATCAACTTGCAAAACACACTTGCCTACTTTTCAAAACCACACTTCACAAACACAATTTCCAAACAACTTCCAAAAACATTTGAAACATCTTTTCGAAAAGATACACACCTTTGTAAAACATTCGAGTAAAGAATTGTTACAACGG